AGAGAAAGGGAATAAGGGAGAGAGACAAATTGGAGAAAAAATACTAAACCAGCTCTGAGAAATAATGGAAATAATGAAATATATACAAGTATAAAACAACTCGAGTCTCCACCACACCCCCAGTGCCAGTCGCATCACCAGTGGTGCTGTGGGGCAGGCACTGGGGAAATCCCAGGCCAGGCTCAGTGACAGATGGGAACTGGATGCAGAAATGGGTTCTAGAACTGGATTCAGGAACAGATGGATCAGGATCAAAGGCAGAACAGAGTCCTCCTCCCATGCTGGCTGTTGGAGAAGAGGCCTGACCCCCCTGATCCCTCACCTACACATGCCGTCCAGGGGAGGGGATCCCTTGTTGGTCAGTCTGGGGTCACCTCTCCTGGCTGCTCCTCCTCACAGGTATCCCCTCTTACTGCACCCCAGGTTGGGACACAAGGTTGAGCACTGAGTGTGGTCTGCACAGGAGCAAGTCTGAGCAAGAGCCTTTCTGCACACCCCAGTCCTTGGTGGCAGCTCTGAGCATGGAGCATTGTCACTGCTAGAAGCAGAGTCTGGCTGTGAAAATCTGCATTTAACTGCAGGCAGTGCTGTTAGCTCAGAGAGACTGAGCAGAGAAGTAAAATCACTGGACAGGATCAGTTCTGTTCTGACTCAGAGCAGGATGTTGGGGGCGGTTTGAAATGGGTCAGGTGCACAAACTCACTGGTTTGCTGTTAGAGCTTGTGTCAGTCACACGTGGTGTGGCTGCTGTTGTTTCTCACCTGTAACTTGTAAATCCCACCTTCTCTTTCATCTCTGATACAGAAACATGGATTTATTGCTTTATTACTCTGTCTGGCCAGAGAATTTTCTTTAAAACTTTAGTTGGACTTTTGACCCTATTTCCAGTGTAATGTAGTGCCTGTTTTTTTTGTTTTTGGATCTCCTCCTTCCCTTGTTTGTTTGTTTGTTTTTAAATTGATCTGTAATGAAATGTAATTTTTTTTAAAAATAATTTTAAAGTCATCCCATTGCCAATCAGCTGCATCAAAAACATCACAGCGAGCGTGGCTGTAAAATGAGAGGAAATCTACTTGGAAAATACCTTCACCAAGTGGAAAATGTTTGAAAATGTTGCTCTTCTGCACTCAAAATAGCTTCATCATCTTAGCAGAAGATCTGTGGTGATGTTAGTTCTCAGTGTCAGCAGGGACTGTGTTCTTTGTTTTTGGATCTCCTACTTCCCTTGTTTGTTTTAAATTGATCTGTAATGAAATGTAATTTTTTTTAAAAATAATTTTAAAGTCATCCCATTGCCAATCAGCTGCATCAAAAACATCACAGCGAGCGTGGCTGTAAAATGAGAGGAAATCTACTTGGAAAATACCTTCACCAAGTGGAAAATGTTTGAAAATGTTGCTCTTCTGCACTCAAAATAGCTTCATCATCTTAGCAGAAGATCTGTGGTGATGTTAGTTCTCAGTGTCAGCAGGGACTGTGTTCTTTAGCTTGTTTATAATGAGCTGGCAGGGGTTTCACTTCAGTTCCTGGGGTCCTTGGTTTGGGGTGGATTTGGTCTGTGTGTCTATATTAGGATAAAGCTCATTTATAAGCTTTTTTTTTTTCCTCCTTGTTTTGGGAATGCTACTGATTATAATTCAGTGCTAACAAAGGTCTGTTTACAGGTCAAGGTTGTCATTTTGGGACAAGATCCATATCATGGACCTAACCAAGCTCACGGGCTGTGTTTCAGTGTCCAGAAGCCTGTTCCACCTCCCCCCAGGTATGACAGGGCTTGATTTATAAAACCCCCTTTTTGTTGAGAGATTCTTTGCAGTTCTGTGTTACTTAGGGCTGTGAGTCAGGTAACTGGTATGAATTGTGTTGAGACTACTGGAATTTGAGTTGTCTCACCTAGAAAAAAAATCACTGCTGAATTATAGGTAATTCTACATAGCTTGATATCCTGAAGAGCATGCTGGATGTAAATTTGCATCTTTAATTGTGCTGAAACCTTCTCATTAAGCCTCTATCCAGGCACACAAAGGGGGGGTCCTTGTTACCCTTCCTCTACAAATGGCTTTGTTACCTTGGGTGATGAGATTTCTTGCCTAGTGTCAGAGCAGTGAGTGGTGCTGTTTGCTCTTTAAATGTGAGTGTTTAAAAGCTGGTGGTTTTGTTTGCAGTTTAGAAAATATTTACAAAGAACTATCTACAGATGTTGAGGGCTTCACTCATCCTGGACATGGTGATCTCACAGGCTGGGCCAAGCAAGGTGAGTTAATAGATGTTGTTGTCCATTGTAGGTCATAAAAACCTGTCTAGAAACAAGACCCATGGTTGAAAATAGTCCCTCTGTGAAAGACAACATTAATTCTGAGTGTGTCACTTATTGGGGACGTTAGAATGAGAATTGGATTTGTCATTCCTCAGGGGAGGAAGGGAAGAAACAGTCAGGGCTGGCCTGGCTTTTTGTTCCACCCCGTGTGTTTGCTGTTTGGCAGGAGTGCTGCTGCTCAACGCGGTCCTCACGGTGCGAGCCCACCAGGCCACCTCCCACAAGGAGAAGGGCTGGGAGCAGTTCACGGACGTGGTGGTGTCCTGGCTCAACAAGAACCTGCAGGGGGTGGTCTTCATGCTGTGGGGAGCCTACGCCCAGAAGAAAGGCAGCTCCATTGACCGGGTACTGGTTACTCCTCCTCCCTTCCCTCTCTTCTCTCCGGTTGGGTGGACACTAGAGGGCACTTCCCTGACAGAATTGGGGTTTTCACCCTGCTTGAACTCTGCTGGTTCTTCTGTTCCAGCTTTAGCCTTTGCCAGAATTAAGCAACAGAAGTGGAGCAAGTGTAACCTTCTGTTGTCAGAAAAGCACCCAGCTGAGGAGAGAAGTGTTTTTTTCTAGGAAAAGGCTCAGGAATAAGGATACAACTTGCTGTTAGGATTGCAGCCATTGAAAACCAGCCAGGGTGTTAGTGCTGCTTGACGTAGTCCATCCTCTCCTCAGTGGGACAAAAGTCTCGGCCCTCGTGGTCCTTCAGGTCCTTGGGCTGGTGGCTGAGGAGGTGTGGAGAGGAAATCCCACCTCTGGCAGGGGCAGAGGCCACCAGCCTGGTCCAGGGAGCCGGGGGGGATGCGACTCTAACGAGCAGTTTCCTCTAACCCTCCACAGAAACGGCACCACGTCCTGCAGACGGCCCATCCCTCCCCTTTCTCTGTCAACAGAGGATTTTTTGGCTGTCGGCATTTCTCCAAGACCAACGAGTTGCTCAAGAAGTCTGGGAAGAAGCCCATTGACTGGGGAGCGCTCTGAGCTGCGCCCCGGAGCTGCTGGGGGCTCGTCGTGGGAAGCAGCCCCTGCTTCAGGGGTTGTCCTCTTTCTGGAAATCTCCACTGACCTGAGGATTTCTTTGGGTGTTGACCAAAGGAACACATAACCAAACTTTCAGAGAGGCTATATATTTTTTTAAAAATCTTTTTTTAAAGATCAGCTTGGAGTCTTACAACTTTTCTGCTGTTTGAACAGGGCTTAGCCTAATTTGAAGCAAAGAAAAAAAAGTTCTATCTTAATTTGTGTTTGTTGTTCTAATGGGAATATATTTTCAGGTTCTTGGGGTGGCAGTTCTTAGAGGGGAAGCTGTTCAGCTTTTGTAAATACCCTGTTGTGTTTCTTCCCACTCTGCAAATCCCCTTTTGTATTTGGGGGGGTGTGATGACTCCATGGGAGAAGAGGGAGATGCTTTTGTGTTTAGCTTTTTGCTACAGGTTAGTAGATTTTAGTCCCTTTTGGGACTTTATACACTGTCAGAGGCATTACTTGGCATATCCATACTTGGGTTAAATCCCCCAGCAGCCAAGGGGAGACTGTGACCAAGGCTCTGGTTGTGCCCTGAGCTTTTTGTTGGCATTTAGAGAGAAAAACAGAAGTTTTTAGGTTCTTACTCTGAGTGTTATGTGCTTGGATGACAGGCAAGCTGTGATGACCACGAACTTTGGCGTACCTTGCTGATGGCAGCAGTGAAGGTTTGTTCATCAAGATCTTGCCAGTTGATGGGCTGAGAGTTGCAAATTATTTCAGGTCTTTTAAGATCTTAAACCAGGGGGAGGTTGGTACTTTGCTTTCACAGGAGCAAATTGAGGTTTCCAGCCACTGTTGAAAGTAGCTGTTGGGTCTTGCAGGGTGAAGATGAGGTTGGACTTTACAGTTCTGCGTTTCCAGTCCATCTTTGGATGGACATCATTTCTTTAATGGAATTAAAATGTCTTGTTCATTTGGAAATGACATCTGTTTTTTTGTGGAACACCCCTGTAAGCCTTTCTCTGGTATTTGCCTGGATAGGTAACACTAGTACAAGTGACATTCACTTTCTGTGGCCTTGGGTTTTGTTTGATGTTTTTTTTTCTCCCCTCCCCTTTATTTTTTAAATAAAAATGACTTCCTTGATGCTGCGGTGTGACCTTGCAGAGGTAGGAGCAAGGCAGGGAGGACTGCCCGAGGCGCAGCCCTCGCTCTGCAGCGGCTGCTGGCCCAGGCTGGGGGGGGTCCCAGCTCTCCCTGGGGG